TGGGTGAATTTAACTCGAGTGCTGAGTTTGTAGATTTGGGATTGGTAGTAGCGAACTAGTTCTTTTTTGCGGATAATTTCTTCGGGAGTGGGTTTGGTCATGTTAACTAAACTGAGTATGAGTTTTATTTATTCTAAAATATGTAATTTCATCAGTTCGCTAGTGGCATCAAGGTTATTTTTCATTTCTAATTCTTGATAAATTTTCTCGTTTATTTCTTCTCAGAGTGTTCCGTTTTCGATATTTTGCAAAGCATGTTCATTACCACCATCAAATACTTTCATCCACAATTCTTCAAATTTTTTACTAGTGGGATTATTTTCGACTATTTCCTGATTATATTTTTCGGCTTCTCGGTTATATTCCGCAACATTAATACCATTATCTGGGTGCGAATTGTTATTTTGGCTACTAGTATCGTTGCTAGCGAAAGAAGGGGGCGGGGTTGCCGTTCTTTCCTCTTCTCGACTATTTACAATCTCATTATCATCTAATAAATTGTCTAACCCTCACTTGCTGGCAATTTTTCAATGGGCGCGGTTTAAGAAAACTGTTGATTCATCGTGTTCATAACCGGACTCAGGCATTTTAGACTTATCAACAGCTACTCAATAATCTTTATTTCCTTCATAAGCACCATAAAACGTAGTTGGAATAGCAGCATGTTTATAATTTTCTCCTCCATCTCCACCAATAAAATTAAAGCTATCGCAGTCCAATTCTGCCAAGTTCACAGGTAAGGGGCGGTGTTGCAGGGCGGCAAAAGAGGGATAGTAGATTTTTAAAGCTTCTTTGCCAATTTCTTTTAAGAGTGGGTCAGTTATATCATAAGCTTCCGGAGAAGGTGTGGTTCTGGTTGGTTCTTCTCAATCCTGCAATCGCTGTTTAATTGAGTTTCTCCTTCCTTCATGAGTCAGCAAATAACCCCAAACTGCTCTTCGCCGACCGCTCCAAGCATCAGGGTCATCTTCTCATTCTCCTAGTTCTCAGTCAGTAACAGAAGCTAAGCCAAGTTTATTCCAATTTCTCTGCATATAATCACGAATAGGTGAAATAGTATGATTATGCCGGTCGTATATTTCATCTCTTTCATTGGTATAAAGAATAGCTATATAACCCGTGCCACTTGTTATACTTTTGGCTTTTAAGGAACCAGCATTAAAAATTATTCAATTAGTTTGACTATTAATTTTAATTATTTTTTGTTTTTGTTCATTGTTTAGCGAATTAAAACTATTTAAATAATTCCTAGTTAATTGCTCTATTTCTTTATTCATGGCAGTATTTTTTCTCTCCTGTCATTACCTGTCATTAGATTAGAAGGATTGAGAAATTTAATGTTGTTTTTTCTTTTTTTTTTTTTTTTGCTATTTCTGTCATGTCTCTTATATTATAAATTTAATTCTTTTTTTAATTAATTTTATTTTTTTTTCAGCTAAAATTTTTAAGTAAATGTTGTTTTTTTCTAATTTTTCTTCAATTTTAGCAAGGAAATTATTATATCTAGTTTGGATTGTTCCTAATTTTTCATTCAGTAAGTCAATAAGTTTCAGTTTAAATTGATGATAATTAGATTCTTTTAATTCTGCTTCTATCTCTTTTATTTCTTTGTCATTCAATAGAGCATAAATAGTTAAAAGATTAGAAATGCCAGGCTTTTTCTCTGGCTCATAATAGATTTTGTTTTCACTATCAGTTTCGGCTTGGCTAATTTTTTTTTTTATTACTTCTGAACCATCTAATAGAGCGATAAAATTTTGTTCACTTTTTGACATTTTTTTGGTCGGATTCTTCAAGTCCATTATTTTGGCTCCGAAGCGAGGAATAGTAAATTGCGGAACTTTTAGCAAATCTTTTTGGTCGTAAAAATTGTTGAATTTTTGGGCGATATTGGTTGCTAATTCTAAATGTTGCTTTTGGTCTTGGCCGACAATCACTAAATCAGCATCATAAAGAAAAATATCTGCCGCCATTAAGACGGGATAAGATAATAAAGCTAAATTGCCGGTTTCTGAACTTTTTTTCTTTTCCTTGTATTGAATCATGTTATTCAATTCGCTGACTGTGGTAAAAGGTGCTAATAATCAAGTTAATTCTAAATGTTCCTTAACCTGTGATTGAATAAATATTTTACAATTTTCTTCTTTTAGTCCACAGGCGTACAAAAGAGCAGCGATTTCTTGACCTTGTCTTTGATAATTAATGTCCTTTCTAAGCACAGTTAGAGCATGTAAATCAGCAATCATGATAATTATCTCATAATCATCTTGGATTTTTAAAATGGGATGGATTGCCCCAAAGTAATTTCCTAGGGTCAGGGTGCCAGTGGTTTGAATACCAGTAAAAAAACGAGGCTTTGATTGGGCTAACATAAATATAAAATTATATTATATAAATTAATCCATCAATAGAACTATTTATAATGGTTGTTGGTACATCCTTATAATTTTTTTGATAATAATCTTTCATACTTTTTTCATATGCTTCTTTAGCAATTTTTACCTCTAGGAAATATTCTTTTTCAGAAAGTTCACTGCTACAATAATAAGCCGCGGGCAAAGTGGCCAAAAAACTGATTATTTTAATTGTTGTTGCTAACATAATGTTATATTTTTTAATGGTGATAACTCTACAAGTTTGAAATCACCGCAAAAATTACTTAATGGATTAGCTCAAATCAAACAAATATCTAAATCCGACCTTAAATCATTTTTAGTCCAAGACCATACTTCTTTTTCAGTTCTTAATGTCTCTTGCAAACACATTCCAAGCACTAACCGCATTAGTGTTACCCTTTCTAAAAACAGCGCTAAATCTTTTTATCTAGACCAAACTAAAACTACTAAACAATTCATCACTTCCAGCCTCACTAAGCCCGCGGACGACTGTTTAACCGATGCCCAAAACTGTCACTACTTCGCTTTTTTTAACTCAAAAGAAAAAAAGTTATACACTCGCTTCTTAGATAAAGTCGAAGCCAATTTTGAAGGTTCCGCCGCCAATCAGCCTTTGCTCTTTTTAACCCTCACTTTCAACACCACTCACGACAATTACTCAGCTTTTACCACTAATTGAAATTCAGAAGACCCAGTTTGAGAACCAATTGCTAACAAAAACAACTGATTAAAAGATTGAGCTCAGCAATTTGATGACCATGCCGAACCGCTGAAAGTCAAAATCAAAAAACTAACTACCGAAGTTCAACAGCATGCTATCGCTAATTATTATCTAGCTCTCTTTTTACGCCGAGTAAGACGGTTATGAAAACCCCCGCAGTGAAAATGGGTAGTAGTTAGTGAATTACAAAAAAGCGGAGTTTGACACTACCACTTTTTATCCACTCCTATCGTCCCTTACTCTCACAAATGCACCTTAGATAAAAACTTTAAATCCTGTTGAAATTGTCGGGCTTATATCTCGCAGTTATGACCTTTTGGGCGAGTTGAATCCAGAAGTCCAGGTTATAAAACTATTAGTCATTACTTAGCCAAATATCTCTCCAAGTCTTTTCACCTCCGTAATCTTTACCAGTCTCATGGTTTGAAAGAAAATCATAAGACCTATCGTTTTTTTATGAATTTGTATGACTATGAAGAACGAGAAGCAATTCTTAACGGCAAATCGAAAGTAGATAAATTAAGTGGTGAATATTTAAACAATCAACAAACTATTTTCCGTCGTTATGACTACACTACTGGACAAACTACCTACTTTTATCGCACTAATGAGAGTTTAGTTGGACACGCCACTAAGCCCGTGCTAATTAAGAAAAATTATCGCCTTGGCACTCGCTCATTAAATCCCCTCAACTTACTGAAACTAGCCGACAAACCTAAGCAAAAAGAAATTTACTCTTTTAAGAAACCCAAACAGCAACTCAAGCAAGACTTCCAAGAATTCTTAATCACTCGCTTATTGTTGTTATGCAAATCGGCCGAGTTTACTCATATTCCTTTGGAAAAAGAACACGTGCCAAAGGAATTAGAAAAGTGTGATCAATCTATTACTAATCACTTTCAAACTAAACCGGTTCTCCGTTTCACTTTTTTACCGCAACAAGCTTCCCTAATTAGAACTTTTATGGAAAAATTAGACACTTATGCCCAAGAATACGATATGGAAGAAAGTAAAGATTTTTCCGCTCCCTGCTTTACTGATCCAATCGCAAGCCGCAATGCTTACCTCAATAACTGATATGCCAATTACTACACCGATAACTGAAAAAAGCCTTTTTCGGAACGAGGAACAATCAATCACTATGCTAACTATTAAAATCGAACAGAGAACACCAATCTAAAAGGAGGATCACCTCCGACACAGTTTTCACATTTATTTTGCTGTGTGGATACAACTGAGCCAAATAAGAGCGATAACTAGTTCGCGTTCTCTCATTCCTCAGCCACTTATTTGGTGCTCCCGCCGAGATTGGTAAGGCTGAGGAAGCAACAAAAAAGGGAGTGTCATTAGTCTTAACTAACTATCTTTAATCGGATAGTTCAGGTTAAGAAACAAGGGGCTAACCCCCTTCACTTCCACCAATTTATCAAACTATTCTATTTATAAAAACTATGCCGACAACTAACTTAAAATGCCGCTGCACACCAGAAAAAAAATGTTCCGCTCCGCTTCATGGAGTAATAACTGTTACCAATTGCCCACCTAATTGTGGCTTAGGTTGTGACGAATAAGAAATTATGAACTACTCTGAATTATCCATCAAAACCACCATTAACGATATTGAAAAGCGCCACGACAAGAATGGTAATCTTTACTTTAAAGTTTGTGCTAATTGAGGTGCTACTTCGCAAATCCTCTATGCTTTTAGCCCTGATTTTAATTTAAGTAAAGAAACCTTAACTATTTTAACTGAGGTTTCTCATAATCTCATTAATCGTTCTGTGGTAATCACTTATCAAGAACAAACTCATAAAGAAGGCAATGGCACTTTTTACAAAGTCAAAGCCATTGAATTAGCTCACTAATTATGCCTTACTTCGCTCTCTTTTTTACCATTTTGTTAGCTAATTTAGTTTCTTTTTCGCTTTTGCTCCTCCTGTTAGTCTGATTACTACCCAAACTGCTAGTCTGGCAAGCCAAAAAAGTCCACCAATCCCTCAGCAAAAAAATTAAATCCTGATGAAAAAAACTTACTAACACCGATGCTTAACAAAATATCCGAAAGTGTTAAGTTAGACCCCCCAAAACCAGTCAAAAAGGCCTCTAACTTAACAAAAACACTAATCCTAACTTAACATTTTTGCTAATATGAATAATAAACTTACTACGCTAGAATTATTACAAGAACTAAAAAAGCAATTAAAAACTAACCAAATCGGTTTTTGAATTGACAACCAAGACTGCTATTTATGGGAAAATACTTTTCATTACTCCAACAAGATTAAAGTTGGTGATTTATCAATGACCAGAGAGGCTTGATGAGCCAAATGAATGGCAGAGTTTGACAAGTATTACCAAGCATCAGAAATTAAACGCAAAATTCTCGAAAAATAATTCCAAGATATCTCGGATTTAGCACTAATTGAAGAACTCAAAAGACGCAAAAGCATCAAGTTGAGTATGTATCCTAATCAAAAGCATATTTGAATTACTGGAAAAGATATCGACAAAGGAGGAGGAGAATGTTTGCCTGTTGAAATATTAAAGAATGAAAAAGCCATAAAGTCTGAATAATTTTTACTTGTCTGAATAATGACTAAACAAGAACTTAATAAAATCTACTATCAAACTCATAAGGAACTAATCAAAGCCCGCCAAAAAGAACACTATCAAGCCAAAAAACAACAGTCTAAAACTCCCTCTAAAAATTACTACCAAGCCCACAACATCAAAGTATTACTATCTTTAAAAGATTACCCCAATTTAAATAAACAAACTCACAAACTCTGATTAGATTTTAATTGAACTCTGCAAAATATCAATCAACAAATAAACGGAATAGTTGATATCATGAAACTCCGAGAAAGTGCTGACCAGTTAATCACTGATTATTGAAAGATGGCTAAAAGTGAAGTTAAAAAAACTCAACCTTGAAACTCTTTAACCCAAGAACAGCAAGCCAAACTAATCAAGTATTGAGGTCAACAAAAAGTCCGCCAAGAAAATAACTTACTTACTGAATTAGAACAACAAGAACAGCAAGGTCAAACCTACGAAAAAGAAATCGAACTAGCCAAATTCCATGAAGAACGAGGCAAAATTAAATGTTCTTGTTATTCTTGTGTGGAAAGCAAGCAATTAGCCGGTGAAGGAAAAGAAAAAGTTTTTAGTTATGATAAACCCAACCCCGCACCAAAGACAACCTGTCCCGACTGCGGAAAACTAGTTAAAAAACTCAACCCAGAACATGGCATTTGCTCTACATGTGTCAAATCTTATGACTAAACGCCAATTAGACCAAGTTCTTAACTTTCAGCAAATTCAGACCTTAGCCATTGCTCCCACTAATCTCCACTGCTTGCAAAGACAGGATAAACTCTTAGAAATCATTATCTTAATGGCTTACCTCGGCTTGCGAGTATCGGAAGCGATTAACTTCACTTGACAACAAGTAAAAGTAGAAAACAAAGAAGCATTTGTAGTAAATGGAAAGGGCAACAAACAGCGACTAGTTTTTAATCTTTTAAACAACTCTTACCTTACTAAAAAATCAAAAACAGATCCCACCCAAGACCGCTGGAAAACCATTTCTCGGCAAGCGGTTTGAGATTACTTAAAACGCCAATCGCTCAAACTTAATCTCACTTGAACCATCACCCCTCACACCCTCCGCCGTTCTTTTGCTTCTATTCTCCATTATGACTTAGGACTAGACTCCTCCTCCATTCAACAACTCCTTGGTCATTCTCAATTCCGCACTACCGAACGCTATTTAAAAAAAGATATTCGTTTTTTATTAACTAATCTCCAACGCAAAGGATTTTTACTCTAACTTATGACAAAACCCCGTAAACAACACCAACTAATTGGCACTATTACTAATGCTTGACTAGGAACCAGCAAAAGCCGCCAATATAAAAATCAACCCTTTTACTGCCTTGATGTCATCGAACAAACCTTATTAGAAAAAAGAAAAACCACTATTTACGCCTTTTCTAATTTAGTAAATAAGGAGATTTGAAAGATATTAGAAACAAATTCTTTTAAAAGCAAAAAATACTTGCTCTATTGTGAAAAAAGAACGCGAGGATGAAGATTGCGAGAGTGAGAAGAACCTAAATAGTGCCTAGGTTAACTTAACAAATTTGCCAAGAATTCTCCTCCTCTCTTTTTATCACCCACCAAAAAAGAAAAATATAGCTCATAGCCATCATTCTAACTAATTTTTAGCCGACCGCAAAAACACTATTCTCTTTATCATTAATATTAACTTAAAAAAATAAATAAAAAAAATATGAATTTAAAATACCTAACCTTAGGACTAATTGCCGGTTATCTCGGTGGTTATGTTCTGGAATACTTAAAAAATCAAAACACTTCTAGTTCAGCTTCTGAATCGGAATCAGAAAATTTTAACGAATAAAAAATATGACAAATCCCAATAAACCAATTTACCAAAATGAATGACTCTACTTAGCGGTTGGTATCGGTATCGGCTATTTCGCCTTACCCAAACTAATGGACTGAGTTAAGAATAGAAATAACTAACTATGTTTAAAAAAACTATTACTAAGCCCATTAAAAAAGCCAAGCCAACTATTAAATCGGCCAGCACCAAACCCGAGCAAATCACTATCACCGAAGCCTTAAAGCAAAAAGTATTTCCTTACATCGTGGCAGATTTTGCCAATGCCCTCAAATCCTTAAAGTCTGGTGAAAGCATCCGCTTTGGCAAACTCGGCACTTTCAAAAAAACCAAACGGGCGGTTAATGGCCATACCGGTTATCAATACTCTTTTAAAGCTCATTCTTTACTAAAAAAGTAGATGCCAGAATTGAAAAAAGTTGGTCGACCCCGCAAAGTCACTCCGATAGCAGAAATACCAGCCCAACCAGCCAAAGTAACTAATGGTCATCTTACCTTTAAAGAAAGCAAACGCACGATCGTTCTTACTTGGGGTAAATATTCCATTACTTTGCTCTGCATAACGGCCGTTGCTATCTCAGTTATTCACAAACTAAATTTCTAATTATGGAATTCCAAAAAAAACACTTACTAATTGCAATTGGCATTGGTTGCTTAGCCTTAGCCTGGTATAGTATTAACAAAAATAAAGATGATAAACTTCCTTTTTCTGAGAAACTGGAATACTTGCCAGCCATTGGCGGAGCCGCTTATGCTCTCAATTTTTTATTTAAATTAGCCCACTAAACCCTTATGTCATTTACTAAACAAAACAATAATCAAACGGAAAACAAACCTGACAGCGGGATAGTTAACACCATTGCTAACTATTTACCGGTCTTAACCCTGGTCTTTGAACAAATGACTGGCCAATCTATCCCCCAAGCCAAAGGCACCCTCGCGGATATCCTCACGGCCTTACAAAGATTAGAAAACAAAGTTGATGACTTAGAAAAAAATTGTGCCGAACAATTTATTAGTCAAGAAAAACAACTCACTTCTTTACAACAAATCAGTAAATTAGTCAGCACCGAAAAAACTAAAGCCATCCATTTTACTAATCCCAAACAAATAACTGAAATCGAAGAAAATGTTTAAAGATATTACCAAAGCCATCCAACAATTACAGCCCGAGCTCACGCAAATCAAAACTCTCTTGCAAGAAATTAAAGAACTATTGAAAAACAAATAATCTTATGTTAAATCAAGAAGAAATCTCCCCTTTCAAAGAAACCGTTATCCTTTAAACCTTATCCGGTGCCATGGTCTTAATTGGCATCAGTTGAGGAATAATGTTTATCGGAACTTTAAAAACTAAAAACAAATAAATCAAAAACCCTTATGTTCACTAAAAAAACTAAATCAGAAAATAACGAAAATACTAACGAAAGCAAAAACCAATCAACAGTCAAATCCTGACTTACCGGCAAATTAGGCTCGTTCTTATTAGCCAGTGCCGCAGGTTATGCCTTATACCATTGACAAGTAATTCCTAAACTAATCAATTACTTTAAAAAGAAAAAAGACAGCAAATAATCATCATGAATGCTCCCAGCCTCGAAAATATCATCCAAGAAATCGCCTTAGCTCCTAACTTAACTAACGCTCCGACTTGCTCGTGTCACATCATTAATCCACGGGTTCATCGCTTAATCTTATGAAAAGAAATTGACCCAGTAACCAAAGAAGAAAGATATACTTTAAGAATAGGTTCCCAACGATTTGCTAGTTATCCTAACTGCGATAAAAACGGGCAAACTTACTGATTATTTAACCCCAGTGGTTTTTATCCTGATAAACCCGAATTAAAGCCGACTGAAAACTCTACTAATAATAATTCTCATGTGTCAGAAAGTAAAAGTATTTCCTAATCCTGTTCCGAAACCAAAGCGTAATAAATCCACGACGGCTTAGAAAAAGCTTGCAAGGTTTTCACGGGCAAAGAATAACCCAAGCTTGTCGCAATTGTAAACTTAATAGTAATCAATTAGCCCAAACTAGAAACCAAGAAATTAGTAATTTGTTAGTAGCTTACGAGCAAATAGGTCAGAGTTTAAGAACTTTATTAACTCCGTTAGAAAATGACTAATGATCAACTAATTGCTGAGTTAAAAGCCAAGCAAAAATCCGGTAAGATAAAACCTTCCCAAATAAAAAAGAGTCAATTTAGAAACATGACCAAAGAAAAATCATTAGAGCAAATTCAGGCTGAACTTAATTCTTTAAAAGAAAAGTTAAAAGGTCAAGACCCTAGTTTATTAATCAAAGCCCGTCAAGAACTAATCACTATTACTAAGCAATTACAAGAATTATTCCCTAGCGAACAATTACCAGTTTCTCAATTACTGACTAAGTTAATTGCTGAAAAAAATGCCCTCGAAATGGCTTTGTTTGAAAAAAGACTAGACAGTTTAAAAGAGTTTTCTCACTATCAAGAGCGATTAAAAGATTTAGAAAATAGTGAACTGGTAGAAATAACCCAATTAAAAAAAGAAAATCAACAATTGTTAGAGAAGTTAAGTAAAGCCCGAGCTATTTTAAGAAAAGACAATTTTAAAGATGATAACCCTTTTTGGGAAGAAAACACGCTTACCAAGGCTCTGATTTTACTGGCTATTTTTGGTATCGGTGCTTTTTCTTACTCCCTCCTTAAAAATCATGACTCACGAACTAACTAACTTAAACACTAATTTAACCCAAATCAGTCAAAACTTCAACGCTAATTTAAGCTCAACCAATAAAGAAATCATTCAGGTTATTACTTACACGGTAATAGCGGTCGCTCTGACCGGAATAACTGTTTACCAATATATCAAAGAGCAAGAAAACTTATAAACTTATGGTCTTAGGATTTAATTTACCCGATTGAAAAGGAGCTTTACAAGAGAGTTTAACTAATTATGTGAAAGCTCCCTTAGAAAATAAAGCCAATGATTTACAACAACAATTAGAAAGCAAATTTAAGGAGTTTAAAGAACACAATAAGGCTTTTCAAACCACCGTCATTGCTATTTTGTTTGCCAGTTTTTTAATCATTACCATCAATTTCACCTTTAAAGATTATGACTAATTGAAAAGAAATCCATCCTGATTTTAACTATCAAGGAAGAGATTGAGAAACTAATTATCAAGCCCATTGAACCAATCATGGTTTTACTTACGAACAAACTAAGGAGTGGATTGATATCGGACTAAAACCGGAAGATAGTGCTTTTGCTAAATGGTTAGAACGAGAAGGCTATACCGCTTTAGCGGTTCTTAATGAAGAAGATGCTAATAGTTTAAGAGCCGAATACCAAGTCAGTCTTAATAATCCCCAACCCGCCCCAATTAACCCCATCATCAACAATTGACCGTGAAAACTAATCATAGTTGGACTTGGTTTAGTCCTTATCACTTATTATTTAATCTCCTAAAATCATGAATGATATTCTATTCTACGCCTTGTTAATAGTGCTAATTTACTATTTTTTTATTTATTTGCCCCAACAAAAAAAACTCACGGTTAACTCTAACGCTCAGCAAAAAATAACTGAGTTAACAAGTCAACTGCAAGCTCAGCAAGAAACTATTACCAATTTAGAAAACCAACTGACTAATAACTCCTCTCAACAAGAACTAAAAGCTGCCGAAAGCCTTATTACTACGCTTATCCAACAAATGAAACAACTAAATAACTCTCTCAAATAACCCCATGCTTAAAGAAAAATTAGAACTTTTAAACAAAGAATTCGCCCTTTTAAAAACCAAAATCACCACCAAATTAGCCAGCAAAGACCAAGCCTTACAGCAAACTAACTCTTTATTAGCTGAAGCTCACCAAAAAGCCGAAACCCTCACTAAGGAAAACCAAGAAAATGAAAAGGTTCTCGAAACTTTAATCAAAGAATTCAAAGAATTAGCCGAACAACTAGCCTAATATGCTCCACCAACAAGTATTAACGGCCTGGAATGACCTCAAAACCAAGTTCTTCCGTCACTCATTAGCACCGGAAGATAAAGCCAATTGAACTTACTTAGAAAAAAGCAAACTAACTTCTTTTACTCCCATATTAGTCAAAGATGAAGAATTAGACCAGTGAGAACGAGAACTAACCATCATCCAAACTAAGATGGATGAGATGAATTTAGATAATAATGAAGAAAATGAATTGTTCCTCGACTATTTTTTGATGGCTTCCCAAACTGCCAGGCTCAGTTTAAAGTTAATTGAGCAAAAGAAATTACTCCGAGACTACCAGCAAGAAATAAAAAGACTGAAAGAAGAATCTGGTCCCACTGTTGAAGAAGTTGACTAACATGCCAAAAAAAAAAAAAAAACAGAAGAGTTACTAACCCTCTGAACTAATCTCAAACAAAAACTCATGACTACTATTACTGAACTGAAAAACATTAAAGAACAAGGATTTCAGCAATTCCACCACTCCGCCAAACTAACTGAATTAGAAACCAAACTAGAACGAGTCAGAAATCTGATTGCTGATAACCAGCTAGAAAAACTAATAAGGCTACTGAAACGAGGGGAGATTTAAAGTCTGAATAATCTGAATAATTTTTAAAAAAATATGACACGATATACACCAAAATACATCGAAGACTGATTTAAAAGAATAGCCTTTTCACGAATAAGTCAAAAAAAGCTTGGAGAAAGCAAATACAAAAACGATGCCGGTTATTGAGATGGTGGTCGTTGTAATTGAGGCGGAGCCCATAATTTAGTTGAAGACTGCGAGAGTTTAGCTCAATTCTTTACTGGTATTGCTGAACTAAAAAACGCGAGGCAAGAATTAACAAAGTTTACTAATCAGCAAGAATTTGAAAAGAATAAACAAGTTTTACTAACTAAGGCTAACGAGGCTATTAGTGGTTTGCAAATGAGAACCAGCAATAATTCTTCAATTGGCGGTGTTTGCATTATTTGGGCTGATTTCGCCAAAAATTTCAATTCGATATTGAATGATTTTCGTAGAGACTTAGAAATGCTTAAAAGCGATATCGAAAAAGTTCCCTATCACGAAGCCAAAGAATTACAAAAACTGCTAATTGAAGAAAAAAGTTTAAAAAATGAAATCGAGGAAAATGAACGAAAAGCCCGTAATGAACCCGATGAAAACAAAAGAAAGCAATTCATTTTTCTAGTTGACCAAGCCAAAAACCAGTTAAAAAAATGTTTAGAAAGAAGAAAACAATTAAAAACTGGTCGCTTAGGCGATGACTTTGATCCGGATAAACACATTAATGACTTTTTACAAAAATTAGAAGACAAATTAAGTGGCAAAAACAAACCACAGCGACCAACTAGAACTCCTAACCGAACTCCTACTAGTCCTAATGATCCTTTTGAGCCTGATAATGTTAATCTTCCTGACTCTGACTTTATTCCAAGTGTTAATCACGAACCACAATCCTTTTTCACAAAACACTGAAAAGAATTATTACTATTCGGAAGTTTCTTATTAGCCTTTTATTACATTTCGCAACAAAAGGAAGAGATAAGTAATAATCATGGATAAAAAACAAAAGCAAATCATTATGTTAACTATCGGAATGGGCTTAGCCTACTATTTTCTGGTTCATTTACCCGAACAAGAAAACGAAAAACAAAGGCTAATCAATGAAGAAAATCAAAGACGAGAATGAGAAAGACAGAGAGCTGATCAAGTAGCCGCAGAAAAAAAGAGACAAAAAGAACAGGAAGAATTAAAGAAAAAAGAAAACATCATCAAAAAGAAACTTCACTGACGAAGGCAACGGGAGAAAAAAAGTTGAACCGAAAAATATTTAGCCCGTAAGCAAGAAAGTTTTGAAAATGTTTTAAAAACTCTTGGCGGTGAAGAAGAAATTAATATTTTTGATGTGGCGGCGGATTATACTATCCATTTTCCGCCCTCTGTTTGAAGTCAATTGACCGAGGAACAACGGCAATTAGCTGTTAGTAAAGGCCATAATGAATTAGAGCTCGATGAAAAGACCAAAAATTTTCGGTTTAATCAATTAGTGGAGGATTGAGAGGACATGGTCACGGTTAACCCTGTGCGAGGTGAACCAGATCCCCAAACCGAGAAAGATAACAATGCCCTTTTTTATGGCACCGGTGGCACTGGCAAAACTTCTCTGGTTCGTCGGGTTGCTTACAACGCTGATTTATATCCTCTTATTGAGATTAAAGGACCAGCCCTAACCCCAAGAAATGAAGATTATAAAAATGGTATTGACCCACTCAATAAATTCGTCTTTACTCTTTGTGATATCGAAAATACTCTGGAAGATGATTACGGCTTTATACGGGAGGGAAATAGCGAAGTAAAATATATTCTCTTTGTCGATGAAGCTGATAATGTCTGCACTAATAATGCCTTTACCGAATATACTAAGTTGGTTTTCTTAAAGACTTGTATGGAGGGTGTTAATAAAGAAGAGCAAAGTCAAAACCTTTGAATTTTTGCGACTAATTACATAAGCCTAATTGATCCACCAGTTTATCGTCCCGGCCGATTAAGCAATCCGCTCGATTTCAGTTGAACCTTAGGAGACTTTAAATATTACTGTAACAAAAAAGGTATTGACAATCAATTCCCTTTTCATTGAATAAAAACTGACACTCTGAATGAGGAAGATAATAAATGGGTGAATAGATTTAACACCATGAGTTTTGAAAACGAGTTTATTCCTTTTTGACAGAAATTTATTACTCACTCTGACACTCTCAAAGATTTACCCGAAGAAACAGAATACAACGAAAAAGGTGAAGAAGTAGTAAAGAAAAAAGGCATTGCTTTGGGTGAATTCCTCGAATTCTTTTGAAGACTATTTGATAGTAAACAATTACATAATTTTACTGGAAAATACGAAAAGCCACGAAAGCCTACTACTGATGAATTAATACCACAGATTACTGAGGCATTAGATGTAAGATTAAAGGAAATGAATGAACAGTTGATAAGAGTTAATGAAGAAATGGTTTCACAAAAACAAAACTTTTTTGAAACTTTTAATCATAACACCAATCTCATAGCTAACATTCTAGGAGAAATTGCCAAAAAAATCGAATAAAAATATGACACCACAACAACTAATCACTGAAATAGAAAACAGAATACAAGAAACCCAAGCCCTTTATTATTAACCACAAACAAGAATTAGCCCGCCACGAAAATACACTTCAATCATTTATTAAACAATTACCAGAAATCAAAAAAAATATGAAACTAAATAAAAACAATGCCCTTAATAAGGGAATAAATACTAAATAACTATGACAAAAAAGAAATACGGATTTGGCAGTTTTGTCGGAGACTTCTTTGGGGCTATTTTAGCCGTTCCTACTTATGGAGCCAGTTTAGTCATGAGTCCCACGGCTCGGGGTCTAGCAGGAAACATAATTGGCTCTGGTGGAGACGATGATGACAATGCTCTTAACAACAAACTAAAAGAATGGGAAATTAAGAACGAACAATGAAAAACCCAAATGGAAGCCAATCGTGCTGAAATAGAACGCTTACGCAAAGAACGAGAGGAAAATGATAAAAAAGTTAAACACAATAACGATGAGATTGAACGATTGAGAGCAATTATCAATAACCCTTATAGCACAGATGAAGAAAAAAAGAATGCCAAAAGAAGAATAGCCATCTTAGAAGATGAAATCAAACAGTTGAAAGATAGAAGCAAAAAGATTGATAACGACATTGAAGATAAAAGCAAAACTCCATCAGCACCAGGCAAACCTTGAAGTTTTCCCAAATTAAGTTATGTGGATAAGGCTCTAATTGCCGGCGGAACTGTTTTATTACTTTATTTACTTATCCCTAGTAAGAAAAAAGAATAATCAATCAATCCTCCAAGTCTGAATAATCTGAATAAAAAATTAGGTATATGGTAAAATCAATGCCTAAACCTAATAATTGTCGTCATGAGAATATTTTTTGGGAGGATTTGTTTAAAGAACCTAAAAAGAACAAGGCTTATTGTGTAGATTGTGGAACTGATAGAGGCAAAACATTCGCTAACCGTGTTCAAGCGTGATATCACAAAAAAATTGAAGAATGATTAAAGACTAATAATCTTACCGAAGAATTAGCAGGACATCATTTTACTGGTGAATTTGTTAAATTTCTGAAAAAGAATAACTACGACCAACAATGAAATAAATTGTGTTGTGGAATGATTGACGAGGACTTTGAGGGTCTTGGTAATGGAGTTGGCGGACAAATTATTTTTTGAGAAACTGCTAAAAGCATGGAGTATTTATGTCAAGAATTTAAAAAAGAACAAGGAAAAAATAACCCAAACAAGTCACCATTGCCTAAGAAAAATAAAAGAAGAGATAAAGATAATAATCCCGATAGTAATGATAAACCACAACAGAGAGAGAGAGAGAGAGAGAGAGAGAGAGAGCAATTACAACAATCTATTACTAATCTAACTAATAAACCTAATAAAACCCCAGAAGAAGAACAAGACCTCAAAAATAAGAAAAAAAGACTAGCCGATTTAGAACCACCTAAAAAACCAATTAGCAATGTAGGAAATGACAATAAACTTAACCCACTCTGAATAATTATTCCTAGTTTAGTAATACTATTTATCACCATAATAGTAATAGCACTAAAAGTAAAAAAAACCAAAAAATAACCCTCACTATTTAGTTTCTTTATAATCTATCTTAATAAATAAAATTTAATTATAGAAAAAATATACTTATTCTCCCTTCACTAATCCCTTATGAATACTAATAATATCTTGTACTATATCTAAATTTTATACATTCTTTTCAAACCAAAGAACTAATTTTAATTTCCTCAACAATTTTTTCATAACAAATAATCCTCTCATAATTGGCCAGAGTGGTGATGAAAGATACTCGTTTACCGAAAACAGAACCAAAGAAAGTAGAAAAATAGCAAGTAATCAAAGGAAAAAATAAGGGGGCTTTGCCCCCTAATATCTAATTCGGTTAATTAGTAATTTTATTAGATATTAGTTTTGGATTTTTCCACAAAAATTCTTGTTTGCTTAGATTCCACTCGGAATATTTATTAAGAGATTTATATTGAGAGATTGCTAACTAAGTAAAATTTATTATGACCTTTCTTGCTTTTGGTAATCATACCGTTCGTAATTTACTTCTCTCTCCTTATTTTTCCTTTAAAAAAATCATTGTGCGGGAAGAACACCGCCAAGACAAAGAATTATTAACCCTCATTAAACAAAAAACCGACAATTTATTAATTATTAACAAAGAAGACTTCTCTCGTTATAGTTTTGATAAAAAAAATCAAGGAATAGTTGCTTTTATCAGTAGTTATGATTATGTTCCATTAGTTTCTTTGCTGTCACACCAGCCACAGCGAAAATTCCCGCTAATTATTATGTTGGATGGCATTGAAGACCCTCATAATTTTGGGGCAATTTTGCGGACATGTGCAGCTCTAAAAGTTGATGGAGTAATTATTAGCAAAAAAAATCAAGTGCCGGTTAATAGCACCGTAGTTAAGGTTTCGGTTGGCGGTATAGCCCATGTTCCGGTTTGTCAAGTCGATAGTTTAAGTGGAGCAGTTAATGAACTAAAAAAAAGAGATTACAAAATTATTTCTACTATTTGCGAACCAGGAGCTCGCGAGTATGATAAATTTGAATTTGATTTTCCAGTTTGTTTAATATTTGGCAATGAAGGTGAAGGAATTAAAAAGTCATTAATTAAAAAAAGTGATTATTCTCTCTACATTCCGATGAGTAATAATATTGACTCCTTAAACGTTTCGGTTAGTTGTGGCATTATTTTGGCACAGATAGTTTCCCAATGAAATAAAGAAAAAAAATAGGCAAAATAAAAAAAATTTCGTCTAAATAAATTAAGTCTGAACCAACGTGTTTTTGCGGGTTATAGGTAATTAATCATCTCCCTTTGCAAGTTTTGGGTTAGCCCTATAATTTCTCTTAAAATTTTTTTCTTTCCCGATTTAGAGTCTTTTTTTTTGTTATCTCTTTTTAAGTTCCAAGCAAATTTTTCTATTTTTAATTCTGAAACATCAATTCTTCCGTCCTGGTTTTCATCGTACTCTTTTAAAAATTCGTATGTTTTTTTTCTATTTTTGACAAATAATCAGTTTTTGACTGGCTAGTCAAGTAATCTTTGAGAGTTTGAATTATTAAGGATAATCTGTCTAAGTTATCCCCTAAATTTTCACAATCCTTAATAAATTCTCCTCACTCTCGTTTTTTTGCTTCATTTTTTATATAAAAGTCAAAACAGAGTGCTTCAACAAGCGGACAAAACAAACCAATCCCACCTCCTATTTTAGGATGGCCAGTCAAAGCCAGAAAACTAGCCCCTACTGCTATAAATCGATTAACCCAGCGAGCAAAAACAATAGCCTTTTCTCGCCTTTCAAATTGCTGAAAAACTTCTAACTTGCTTAATCTTTTTTTAGTTCATTTTTCCAGAAATCTTTCTAGATTACGTTGAATAAAAGTTAGTTTGTCACAACTTCAAGGTATTATTTCTGTTTTATTTTGATTTCTTCGCATGTGTTTTTAGTGCTATTATATTGCTAGGATTTGAACACGGAGGAAAAATGCTTAATATTACCCTTTTAAAATTTCTTTTTGGAGGAACTGGTCGGATTCGAACCGACGAATAGGAGTTTTGCAGACTCCGGCCTTAAACCACTTGGCAACAGTTCCAAATTTTATTATTTATTTTTCTTTTTTCTCACCGCGTAAACAATGATACTTAATATAAAAAAAGAGAGGACTGAAATTACTGCTATTGTTGGGAAAAATCTTGAATCATCAGAGGAAGTTTGTAAATTTGGTTTGACAGGGCAAAGTTTTCCTTCTTGGTTTAACTTAATTATTTTTAATTCTATCAATTTACCGCCACCTCCTAATTTGACCCAAGCGTAATTGTTTTTACCGCCGTTATTTTCATTATTTTTTTCAAAATTCTCCAAGTCTTGGATAGTTTTTTCCAACAATTTTGGGTCGTTTTTTATATTTGGCTTTGTTTGGTCTAAAATTTCTTCTAAGTCCTTAATAGCGGTTTGGGCTTCGGGGCTATTATCGGGAGAAATCTCCTCTTCGGGGAATAAATAATAGTTAGAAATTGTTGCCACAACTTTTTCAAAAGTTTCTTGACCTTGTTTGGCATTGCCATTAGGATTAAATTCTTGCTTTTCAGTTTCTCCCCCCTTTTGATATTGTTCTATAACTGCCGAATGGAAATCGCTCCATCCTTTTTCTCGCTCTTCTTTACTCATTTTAGAAATATTTTTGTCCGCTTCTTTTGATGTTTGTCAGGAAAATTCCTTGCCGCGACCTTCCAAAACTTCGTGAAAATGATAGAGGAGCAGCCCCAAATCAGCGGGACAATTGCTAGAAATAATTTTAGTAGCCACAATTCATTGGAAAAATTTGTTCTTTAACTCCTCCTTAGGAAAAGACTTATTTTCGCGAAATTCTAACATTACTTTAAGACCTTTTAACGAAACTAAAAAATGACTCCTGACTTCAACTGCTTCCATGGTATCAATATCAGACCGAGTAATAGAACTAATATGAATTTGCTTTCTTTCATTCCAGTCCGAATAATAATTCGCTTTTTCAATATGCTTTTCCAACCATTCTATTATGTCCACAAAAGTGTCATAAATTATTTGCTTGTTTCCTTTATTCATGATATTTTCCACAATGAGTTCAAATATATAAAAATTTTATACTAAACCCGCTTGTCAATTTTCTTAAAAATACTAAAATGAAATTATAAATTATAAACAATTTTGAGGTAGCAAAATTACTAAAAAAAACAAAAATAGTTAATCAGCCATAATGAATATAGCAATTAATCAGCAAAGAGAACAAATTAAAAAGTATTTTAACTTACTGGTCGCAGAATTCATCAAAGACCCAAAACATAAGGATATTAAAATAATTTTCCAAAACTTTCCTGGCAAGACGTTGAAACTAGGTCATACTCTGCAAATAAAAAACGGAGGAGGCACTAATAGTAAAACAACCTGACAAGAAATAAATGGAGTAAAAGTTCCTGGTTCCGAAAGAACTACCAGTTATCCTATTCCTTATCAATATAAATACGAAATTCAGTTTCTAGCCAAAGGTTATAAAAATGAGGATGAATTGCGAGGAGTGGTAGTTCATGAGTTCACCCATCTTTATCTCTTTTCTACGATTGGCAAACATGACCATGATGACCGATTTTATTCACAAATGGAACGCTTGGAAAGTTGATTCGATGAAAATCAAGGATTGAGTCCACGGGTTGATAAAAGTCATGACCGTGACCAATACGTGAAGAGCAATAATAATATTTGTCCGGAATGTTCTGACTCCAAATCTCAGCATTCCCTTCGCTGTTCACACAGTCAAATTAATGCTTGTTGAAACTGCCAACGAGTATTTGCCCCAGGAGAAAAATTCTGAAAAGACGTTGTTAACAGTTTTTCCGCCGATAATCCCCCAACTTACTGCCAAAATTGCGTGAAAATTAAAGGATTGATCAAAGGGGCAGAAGTCTTAGTAGATAGCAATGACATTGTCACTGACCCCGAAAAATTAGCCGAATTTAATCAACTTAGTGAATTATTAAGCCAAAGTTTAGATTTGGATGATTTGGAAAAGAACTACCAAATCGTGCAAGAAAATCCTTTTTATTCAGACAAACAATTTATAGGAAAGAATAAATTAAAAAATATTGATAACAAAA